TTTATCAAATTTGTTGAAAAGATTAAAAAAAAAACAAATTGATTGGAGAGATTAAGGAAATATGAAAAACAGAAAGATAAGAGAAAGAATAATTTAATAAATTAATTGATATAAAAGATTAAAAAAGATAAAAAAATTAAAAAGTGGATAGAAGAAAAATAAAAATGGTGAAATATAAAAAGATGACCTTATATGTAATAGAAACAGAAAAAGAAATACTTTTAAAATATTAATATTTTAAATTTTAAATTTAAATATAAAGTCGGGGCGAAGATTGCATTACCCATCCCCGCCCCCGACTTTTTAAAGTGGGGAAAACTCGAACCCGCCCTCGCCCCGCCCCCGGTCAACTCGGGTTTTCCCCATCAAACTCGGAGCGGGATGAGTCGGTCCCCATGGGTACGGGTTTAATTGTCATCCCTACCTTAGATACATCAAATGAACCTCAGGTATTGCATTATGTTATGGAGGATCAGAATTAGTTGTCAGAGGCTATGTTAATTCAAAATTTGCAGGTGATCTGGATAAAATGAGATCTACTACTGGTTATGTGTTTACAGTTGCGGGAGGGACAATAAGTTAGTTATCCAAGTTACAAGATGTTATAGGTCTGCCTATCACAAAAGTTGAGTACATGGCAGCCACCCAGACATGTAAGGAGGCTATTTGGATTAGGAAGATAATTGAGGAACTCGGGCATAAGCAACAACAAATTGTTGTATATTATGACAGTCAGAGTGTCTTGCACATTGCAAGAAATCCAGTCTTTCATTTCAGGACAAGGCATATAGGAATAATATATCATTTTGTTTGGGAAGTAATGGAAGAGGGTAGTGTGGATATACAAAAGATTCACACAGATAAGAACCTATCAGATGTTATGATAAAGTCGGTTAGTGTTGACAAGTTTGTATGAAGTCGATCCTACTATGACCTATCGAAAAAATAAGCAACATGGATGACAAGAATAAAACAAACATGATGTGAAGATTTGATTAATTTTAATCAAAATCTTCAAGTGAGAGATTGTGAAAAGAGAAGTCTCACATCAGACAAATTTTACTTTGGTGTTTATTTTTTTTACTATAAAAGGAACAAAATATTTACCTTGTAAAACACACTAAATCACTTCATTTTTTTTCCTCTTGTTGTTTTAGTACTTGAGAGATAAATCAAGAGAGAAAAATAGTTTCTACTTTTAGGTTCTCTTAAAGTTATTTTTCCTCTATTTTTAGGAGAGAATATTATTATTTCCTCCTTGGAGGTAGAGAGAGAAGAATTGTAATTTTTTTCATTAGTGAAATTACTCTTTTACCTATTATCTATTTTTTTCTCATCTTTTTATTTTAGTTGTGCGTGTTTATGCTTTTGTCTGATACCTAACAGGTGGGTCACTAATAGACAAATTTATCTATTAAGTTTTTTCTTGTCAGAACTTTTTTTAGACATGCACCGTCACATTACGACACTTTATATCTAGTAACTAGAATACTTCTTTTTTGATGTGGAAGATCAAATTAACAGTAACCACATATCATACTAAGAATTTTCTCCAACAATATTATGATGACACAGCAACGGAAATAATATCATAAATAAGAAATCAACCATGAACTCTGATGCTAAGAGTAACTACATAAAAATTCACAACTAAAATAATAAATATTTTTTTAAAATACCAAAATGAAACATAACGTGAGTTATCATATTGTTTTTTTATTATATGATTGATTATCTTATTTTGATGTCTTTAAGTACACAAAAATCACGTAAAAAAATTAACACATAATATAAAAAAAAGTTGATATCTAAAAAATATATAAAAAATTAAAATTTAAAGAACCAAAACAGAAACAAGATTTAATGTAATAAGATTTGAAGATAATTTAAATTTTTTATAAATAATTTAATTTAAATAATATTTTTAAGATGTCATGTAATTTATAACTTGAGTATAAATAATTCATATATAATTAAAAGTATTAATAATCTTATTAAGATTAATTTTAATTTTATATATATATAAGTTTTCTTACTTTCTTAGAAGGTGTCAAATAATTCAACGCCTACAAACTAATTAAATATCAACTTAAAAAAATATAGATTAAAATATATTTTTTTATATAAAATTGAATTTGTGCAGCTTATTTATACGATGTAAATATATGTATCTAGTTAAGTTTTAAAAAAAACTAAAATATTTTATAAAATATAATTTATACAATAATATTTAAAAAAAAATTGGGATGAATAATAGATTCATGTATTGAAAAAGTAAAAACATAAGGTGTCTATTAACATTTATTATTACGAATGAGATATTATTTATTTTTAAATTATATTTATTATAATTTTATTTTTAAAAACATTTAATATAATATATAATATAATAAAAATTATAATATTTTAATTATAATTATTTTAGTTTATAAATATTTTTTTAAATAGTTTAATATATTGTATGTTTTTTTAATTTATCATATGACGGATTAAAGAACGAAAAAAAAAAAAAAATCTCACTGACTAAACCGAGGGCTGGCGCGCCATTGTCCCTACTTATTACAAGCTCACACGAAGCAAAGCGTCAAAAAGTGGGGACTTGACTATGCAAAACTGCTTTTTGCCTTGGAGGGGACCATTTAACTTGTCTTTACGGATTTAGTGGAGAAGTTTCTGCCTGTCATCAATCATTAGCACACTTCCTGACATTTTTTTAATAATCTCTCACATCATAAACTTTTTAGAGGAAAAGAAACTTTACTGTTCCGTGTTACATGAATTAATATAAATATTAATTTTCTTTTATTGTTAATAAATTTATTAATTTTTTAATAATATCTTTATTAAATTTTTGATAATATATTTATTATTTTCATTTTATATCTAAAATTATTTTTAATAATTATTTTTTATTTCTATTATAAATATAATTAAAAAAATAAGATTTTTTAATTAATAAAATAATAATTAGTATAGTCTTAAACTTCATAAATATTTTAAAATAATTTTAAAAAATTATCAATTAAAAAGAGAAAATATTATATAAATCTAGCTACCACACCCTCTCTCCTTATATAAATGTATATAAATAAAAATTAAAGTTCAGTAGAATAATAATTTTTTGGAAAAATAGATATTATATTTATTACATAAAATTAGACAATAAATTGTTATTAATTAAAAAAAAAGGCAAGATTTGATATTATTATTGTTGTTATTAAAATATTAAAAAGTGGGAAATGTGATAAAAAATCTGATTATATATTTAATTTTCATTGTCATTATTTTGTAATTTTTTCATTACATATTTTCTAATTAATATTATTAATTTGTGAATTTTATTTTTAATATTTTTGTAAATTTTACCGTTATATATATTTATTTATTTTTAAATAACTTATTGACGTGTCAAATGTATAAGGAGGTGTTTATATATATCTCTACAAGTGTTATATTATTTTATATCAATTCTTACATAATAATATTATTTTATTATCAGTAAAATACATAAAATAAAAATATAATAATAAAAATTATGGAAAGAAACTAAAACTATCAAATTGTGAAAATAATAAATTTATTGATAAAATATGTAAAAAAATCTTTAAAAGGAAAAAAAATATAATATAATAATAATTAGTGAATTATTTAATTGAATTTTTAAATTGGATTAGTTTCCATTTTCAACAGTGTAATTTAAGCCATTTGTCAATTTAAATATTTAACGTATATATTGATATTTTAGTACGAGTGTATTGAAGTTAACAAAAAATATAAAATATATATGATTTTTTTTTCAATACTATGATTAATTTATATATAAATTAAATTTTCACTTATAAAATAATAATAATAATCAAATTCACAACAAAAATATAAAAATCACATTTGTATAATAACAATGGTAAAATAAAAATACTAAAGGGTAATACAGTCTAAAAATAAAAATATAAAAGTAGTTATATACAATACAGAGAGAGGAGGGAGGAAATGAGAGATGGAATGGCACGGTGATCCAAGATATTTAATTAAAAAAAGTTAATATATATATATATATATATATATTATATAATTAGATTAATTTTTATATTCAAAATATTATTAAGTTTGGATCTTAATTATTAAGTGACATGAGATCACAAATGATAAATCTTGATTATTAATTTTAAAAGTGATCAAATAATATATTATTAATGAATAATAAATAAATATAAATAAATATAAATTTTATAAAATAAAATTAAAATTATAAATATAAAAAAAATATTTAATTGTCATCAAGTTTTACCAGCATATATATCAAAATAAAACTTTGGGGTTATGACTTTTTAGTTCCAAGAATATCCTGCCCGTTAACATATCAAACTATAAATTCTCACTTAAAAATGAAAGAGTAACAGTGGAGTGATATTTTGGTTTTAATAAAATTATAAATGTCAATTTCATTTAAGAACAAAATATCTCAAGACATATTTGTTTATGATAGGATCCTTACGGTTAATTTCTATATTCAAAATTTTATCTATTTTAACGAGTCAATCAAAGTTTTATTGTATCGATGAATTTAAAAAAAAATAAAATAAAATATATATATATATATATATATATAAATATATTTTTATAATAATTTTTTTAATTAAGTTGTATTCATTTTATATATATATATATATATTTTTTTCTTTTATTTTTTAAATATTTTTTTCAATATAAAATAATAAATAAAAATAATAAAAATATATTTTTTCTTACTTCTTCACTTTTTTTCCTTCTTAAAATTTTGTCTCACATTTATTTGTTTTCAATAATTCATAATTTTAAAAATATTTATTTATATTAAAATTAATATATATATATATATATATATAATTTTAATAAATAAAATAAAAAACATAATAAATATATATATCTAGATTATATAAATAATTTATATATATTTTGATTTGTATTTCTGATAGTATATATAAATATTTTAAAATCTCTTTCCTAAAAAAATAATTGCAATGGCCAATATGTCTGTACCTCCGCCTCTCCCTATTTCTATATATCCACCTGCTTCACCTGTTGTAATCACAGACACGGACCCAGGACATTCTTCAGGTAGGTAACCTTAAACTTCTTGGACTTGTCTTTGTTAGAGTTTGTGTTTGAGTTGAGATCACTTGCTTTGGTTACAGGAATGTATTTGGTTTGATGCTTTTAAACTTCATCAATCTAAACGTGACATTTTGTTCATAATATCTAATGCCTGGGTGGGTTTAGTTTACTAATGGTGTCCGTACTGTGCACCTAGCAAAGCTACAACCTTTGTTCTCCACCACTTTCCAACTTGTTTAAGTCCTAAAAGAACCGATCTAGACCCGTTATTGAGATTTTCCAACTTCTTGTTTGCTAATATACTGAAATTATGTATGCTTAATAATTAAATCATAAAGATCTTACCTTTTCTTAATGCAGAATGATGGTGTTTAGTTTGGTTGTTTTTCTGGAAGTATAGTTTAGTTTTTACGCACTTTAAGTGTAAAACCTTTTTGGGAGATGGTAATGTTTATGGTTTGTGTTGCAGCAGACACTGAATATGGCTGACTTGTCGGAATGGCCAAAGAAAGATAACCGTCGCATGCTTCATGTTGTCTACCGTGTTGGTGACCTTGATCGCACCATCAAGTTGGTTTTTTGTAACATTGGTTCTTGTTAATTGTTACGTTCTTTGTGTTTAATTAGGTGCTTAAAATTTCCTCACGATTCTTTCAGGTTTTATACAGAATGCTTTGGAATGAAGCTTTTGAGGCATAGAGATATCCCGGAAGAGAAATATGCTAATGCTTTTCTTGGATTTGGCCCTGAAGAAACCCATTTTGTTGTTGAATTAACATATAGTATGTTACTCTGCTGATATTTTCCTTGTCGCATATGTGTTAGGAGGTATCTGATTTTATGTAGTTTTTTGGTACAAGGATACAATTTTGATGTTTTTTCTTTGTCAATGGCTTAACATTTGTTTAAGTTGCGACAACCACACCACACATGGACTTTTATATTCTTCTAACTGTTTAAATATATCATTTTATTGTCAGATTATGGGGTGACCTCGTATGACATAGGGGATGGCTTTGGACATTTTGCAATTGCAACTCAGGATGTAAGACAAAGTCGACCTTTAAAACAGCTTCAGTATCTTTTTACACACTGAATAAAGTGAAATGTTTATTGCTTCAATTTTTAGATTTACAAATTGGTTGAGCACATCCGGGGAAAGGGAGGAAACATCACTAGGGAGCCTGGACCAGTTCAGGGTGGCACTACTGTTATCGCCCTTGTGAAGGATCCCGATGGTTACACTTTTGGACTTATCCAAAGACCTACAGTCCATGACCCATTTTGTCAAGTAATGCTTCGTGTTGGTGATTTAGAGCGCTCAATTAAATTTTATGAAAAGGTAAGAGTCCTTGTTTCTTATCATATATAATCCAGTGCTGTTGTTGCAGTCAAAACTGCTTTAGGCTTTGTTTATGGCACAACTCGATCAGTATCCACTGGCTGTCAACTTCGAGAAAATTTCCATTAATTATTTTTTCTGCTTTTGTGTGCAAAAGCAAAGAACTGTTATACTTTTAGGTCCATGCCACACGGACTGAAGCAGTGAGTTAATTCAATCAGCAGAATTCAGTGTGAACATCCAAGTGAAGCATTCTTATTTATACCAAAATCCAAGTTACAGCATTTAGTTTGTTCCATGGAAATTCTTTTCTGAAGCGTCAAGTGTGAACTCTGTTGCCCTGTACTTATCTATTTCAACTATTCTGTATAGAATGATCAGCTTTGATGGTGGGTTTCAAGACTGGAAAATCAGCTAACTGTATTGTTGTGATTTACAATTTGTAGCAACCACTTGCCAAAAAAATACCTGGTGTAGGACTTGATAGCTTTTGCTTGTGATGCACAAAATAGAATTACAAAAAACTGCCCTTGATAATATGTTATTTAAGTTTTTGTTAACCAAATGCATTTTATTGAAAAAGGAAGTTTTTTTATGGGATCATATTTGCACAGGCTTTGGGCATGAAGGTGGTGAGGACGGTTGATAAGCCCGAGTCTAAGGTGAAATGTCTTATTTCCTATAACTTAGGCATATACTTTCTAGCTGGTACATTTTTCATGTTGAGCCATTCTGATAACTAGTACCATGTTGCAACTTGCATGTCCTGCAGTACACTATAGCTATGCTTGGGTATGGAGAGGAGCATGAGACAACTGTGTTGGAATTGTCGTATAACTATGGTGTCACTGAATACTCTAAGGGAAATGCCTATGCACAGGTTGTGTTATCTGTCTTTCTTAAAGCCTAAACTGGCTTTCTGCACCTTTCGATGTTTCTGTACTCCTTATTGATAGAATTGATGTTCCAAATGTAACAGATTGCTATTGGTACTGATGATGTATACAAGAGTGCTGAGGTAGTAAGCCAAGTTATAAAAGAAGTTGGAGGAAAGATTATTCGGCAACCAGGACCAATTCCTGGCCTTAATACAAAAACCACTTCATTTTTAGATCCAGATGGATGGAAAACTGTAAGCCTCTCCCCTCCTCTTTCCGCCAGATTGAGGAGATGGGTTATCTTGTAGAATCATATGCATACCTGTTTGCTGCAGGGTCTGATGATACCTGATCTTAGTTTCATTTAAACTTTATGTTTGAATATGAGATTGCAGTTCTAGATTCTATCATACATGGCTTGAAAATCATGGATAATAATATGTTAACCTTTAAGTGGCTGGTTTAATGGAACTTGCATTATTTTTATAACAAACCTTTTATGCTGCTAACTATTTGGTCTAAAGACCTTGAAGTAAATTGATATGATTTTTAAATTCAGAACAACAAACTTCCCAAGGCAGGTTCAAGTTATAGTCATAAAAATTTTAAAAATGTTGTTTCAATTTTTGTAGTTAAATTTAGAATAAGAAGTGCCTAATAATATGTTTCGTTACTTTTCTTTCTTTGCTTCCTTCACCTCTTTCTGGAAAAATGGATCTGAAATTTCTGCTAGGATATAACTGAACGGTGAAATAGCTGCCCAAAATCTATAGGTTTCTCTAATCTCAAGTTTAATTTTAGCATGTGGTACGAAAACTGTTGTGCTATGATATGTGACAGTTGTTGATTGTCTTCCTTTATTCAATGGCATTATGATTCTTTATTAACATGTGATCAAATATGGCCCGAATGAGCTCCTCTTTCTTTTGTTAATTGGTTGTATGATTATTTTTGTTTGAATTTTGTAGGTCTTGGTTGACAATGTTGATTTCTTGGAGGAACTGAAGTGAAGACCGAGCTTATCGTGGAATAAGTAGTCCTAGTTATTTGGTATGAATAAGTTGTCTCGCATTTTCTCATGAAGTGTGTCATCAACATGTTTGTTTGCTTTTAGTGGGGTTTTTGAGGTATTTGAAAGCACAATTTAACCTCATTATGTATGCAACCTATGATTAATCTACTTATTTATCATATGTAGATTCTGTTGAGCAGTGTTTCAAAAACGATTTTATGTAATGGTTTAGAGAAGTTGCTTAGTTCAGATCATTTATTTTGTCCAATTGAATGACAGTTTAAATCAAATATTAAATTGGTTGCTGTCATGAATAGAAACAAGTTTATCAACGGGGATAACATGACAATATTATATTTTTAGTTTTGATTGGGCTGGAAAATTTAAAGCTTAAATGGATTTTAACATGAATAATATAAGGAATAGATAGATAACTTAAATTATAAATTTTCATATTATTTATACTACTATTTAAGAGTATTTATTAATTTTAGTTAAGATTATTTTTAAGTGTTTCTAAATTTCAAATTCATATCCACTAAACTCAATAATATTGGATATTACATATTCTTTAAACTCAATAAATTATTAGAAAGCATTAGTAATATTTTAATTTTTTTTATTGTAGGAATCGAGCTTACGAAAAAAATTCAGTGAGAACGCATTTTTATGTGTGAGCAATATTCCTAAGCATTGTTTGTTTGCAGGATGAAGTGAAGATTTTGGACTGCATAAAAAAAAAAATCATCTTTATTCTGTAAGAAGTTATTAATTGGTCTTAGATTTCTGATTATCTCATCTTAAATTTTCTTAGCAACACAAACATATGTTTTAGTTTACAAAAGAGTCCACAATGTAAAGAAATGTTGTTCCCTAAAATCGTGGTGTGAAACAGTTAACGGAAGAAGAAATTGAGTGAATTGGTCATTCATTTATTTGCCAAAATAACCCAATAGAGTAATTATTTATATACTTTGGGGCTAAACCAACATTCACTCCACTGTCCAAACTATGATGACGTGCTTCAAAGCACCTCCTTAGGAGATGCGAAGAATTTTGAAAGAGACAATGCTTTCATGAATACTTCCTATCCCATGTCTCTGATTACAGATCAAACATCTGAAGAACACCATAGAACTTCTACAACACTGTATCCATAGGATAGCAACCAAGAACTCGAAGAAACCTAGCAAATTCCTGACACGAAAATGAAATAAATAAACATTTGATCTGAAAGCTACTTTTCGGAACATGGAGTCACCAAAGATAAACACATTGATTTAATATACTTTAAAGAAAAAAAGAAAAAAACAGTGAGGAGGGATGGGTTGTGATCATGCATATGCAACTGAAATAGAAAAAGAGTTGAAGTTAATGAAGTAAAAGCAAAAACCTTTCCTTTCTACCATAAGCTCCGAAGAAAAGCTTGTAACATTTTGTTCTACGTTCAGTTACAAGAAAAAAATTAAATAAATTGTGATAAATAAGGGATCAAACATAGTAAGATTTATTCATTTGAGAGAAAAAGACATAAAAATAAACTTATTTTCAAAATTAATAAATAAATTAAAACTAAATAATTGTATAATGACAAAGTTAATTATATATCTTTTAATTGATTTTCTATGAATGAAATAACCTTTTAACTCAATATATTCAAATTAAGGTTTCATTTAATTTTTGTTTAATATGTTTATATTTTGATATATAATTTAAAAAATATTTACAAAATACTTTTTACTAAAATTATAATTTTCTCTAAAAATATTTGAGTAAATACTTTTAAGTTAGAAAAACAACGTCAACAAGTAATTAATTTTGCGACTTGACATTTGAGACTTTTTTCATAAATAATACTATTTTTAAAAATATTTCTCAAAATAGCACATCCTGGAACATTATTTACACAACTAACACTCTTTACTGTTCATGTATTATAATAATCGATTATTTTATATTATGATCGATTATTTTGCGCAATCAACTCTCACTCAAGCGAAGAAACCCCTCGCTTGAGCGAGGAAATCTGTAACAAAGGGGTAATCTCGGATCAATTCTCGCTCAAGTGAAGAAACCCTTCGCTTGAGCGAGGAAATCTGTAATAAAGGGGTAATCTCCGGTCAATTCTCGCTCAAGCGACGGGTATTTTCGCTTGAGCGAGAAGTGATTAAAATATGTGGTGACCCAAGTTGCGTTATGTGGCTAATTGCGTTGGACGTTTAGCCTGTGGTCAATTCTCGCTCAAACGATGAGTTACTTCGCTCGAGCGATAATTTATTGGGTAACTGTGTTGGATCGTGGTCAATTCTCGCTCAAGCGAGATATCCATCACTTGAGCGAAGAAATTTATAATCGATTATAATTTGAACTAATCGATCATAATTTTAAAATAATTGAATATACAAAATTATGATCGATTATTTCTTTCTCGCTCAAGCGAAGAAACTTCGCTTAAGCGAGGAGACCTGTAACAAATGGGTAATCTCGGGTCAATTCTCGCTCAAGCGATGGGTACTTTCGCTTGAGCGAGAAGTGATTGAAATATGTGGTGACCCAAGTTGCATTATGTGGTTAACTGCGTTGGACGTTTAGCTTGTGGTCAATTCTCGCTCAAGCTTCCAGATACCCATAATATGTAAAGAAACAAAGAAAAGAAACTAGAACAATCAAACCCAGATTATGCAGCTCCTGCAGAATGAGTTTCTTCAAAACTTTCTAAGTTATTTTAACTGATAACAACAAGTTTTAATCGATTAAAACAGTTAGCAAAAAGTTCCTTAAATAACTTTTGACTTCATCAAACCCACAAGATCTTCGTTTTATCAAATGATTTAATAAGATCTTCGTCACTTTCAATTAATTGAAAAACTCCTAAGTTTCATACATTGAGACATTTCTTAACTAACACAATCTAATGATGCGAAGTAGATGCACGTGCAACATTGGGACATGTTCTTCTGCTATGACCAAGGGTATGACAATATGACCATTTTTTAATCCTACTTTGATTTTTTGTAATGTCCATCCCAGTTCTTATACGACTTGATTTTGGTCGGCCCTTTGAAGTTCTTTTCATTTCTGGATTTGCACACAAAGTAGGTCCTGTGTATGTTGACCAATATTCTTCATTTCGCAATAACCCAAATTGTGTTCTGTATACCTTTGAAACTTGTTGTAAAGTATACACTAAATTAATATAGTTGTTGAAGTTATGGTGTGCATGCTTTCATGCAGCAAGAACATGTGAACAAGGCATGTAAAATTTTTGGAATTTCCCACAGTCACACCATAACTCATCAAGGTGAACTGCAAACTTCCCTGCTGGTCGAACTTCACGCGGGTTTTGTGTTTCTTCTACTACAAATTTTGTGGTAGACCTATCAAAAGTTATGGCCCTATGCGTGTTTGCCTGTGTTTGTGCTTCCTCTAAATTTGTGACCAAAATTTCAGAGTATACATGACCAGCATTGATCATGACATCTATCTGCCTCCCTCTTTCAATGAAAAATTTGTTGCAGCGGTGTACGTTGCGTTGACCATGGAGCAAATAGGTAGATTTCTTATTTTTTTCAAAACAGAGTTGATAAACTCTGCTATGTTGGTCGTCATGTGGCCCCAACGTCGTCCATTGTCCCATGCAAGTGCCCATTTTTCTCTAGGTATCTCATCCAACCAATTAGCTGCTTTTATGTCATATTGCCTCAAGTTGTTGTAATAATAGTAGAATCGTGGTTCAGTCATCCCATACGCTACAACAATATTAAAAAAACATAGTTAATATAAATATTTATTAGCAACAATTAAATAATGAATAAATTGTAACAAATTTGAAACAAAGGAATTATCCATATTTACAACATCTTTCTTCAGTGCGGTGTTTTTGAAACGTCTCATAAAACTCTGTGCAATGTGTCTAATGCAGTAGACATGCATTGAATTATTTTTTGTCCATCCGCTTCCATTTCTCATGTATGCACTTCTAATGGATTCATGTCGGTCTGATATGAGGCATAATCCTTGTTGGGGTGTGACATATCTTTGAAGGTTTTTTAAGAAACAAAACCAGGCATCACTTGTTTCGCCTTCAACCACTGCAAACGCAATAGGGAGGATGTTGTTGCGGCCATCTTGTGCTACTGCAACCAACAAGGTACCTCTATATTTTTCATACAAAAAAGTTCCGTCCACTTGAACAATGGGCTTGCAGTGAACAAATCCATCTATGCATGACCTAAACGACCAAAACACATGTTTAAAAATATTTGAATTTTGTTGAAGGACTTCACCTTGGTAAGCTGGTTGTGACTGCAGTTTGTAGATGAATCCGGGAACAAATTGTTGCATGACTTATAACAAACAAGACAACTTCTTATACGAATTCTCCCAATTGCCTAGATGATCTCCACTGCCTTTTGTTTGGCCAACCAGGCCTTCCTGTATGTTATAGTGTAACCTGTTGTTAATTGGATGTGGGCTATGATTGTGGAGATTAGTGTTGACGAATCAACATCAATTATTTGACCAATTGTTTGGGAAATCATTTTATATCCCAACTTGTTGTGGTCTTGGCTGATTAATGGCGAAACGCATGTATAGTGCCCTTCAAGCTTCATAATCTCCCAATATTGCTCTCTTGTGTGCAATATTGCTCGACATCTCCAATTGCATTGGTTATCAACACATTCAACAACATATCTACTTTGGTTTGAAATTTTCACCTTGTATGTGCAGTGATTGACAATGTGAAATCGGTTGATGACATCTTGAACTTGTTCTTTTGTTATGAAACATTGTCCAAGAAATAGAGTTCCTACCGGAGAAACAAAAGACTCTTTGTCCAACGCATGACCATACTCTAGGTCTTGTTGTTGAATGTGACTTTCAAAGTTAAGAAAATGTTGTGGTGGGTTGTATGGCTCCATGAAATTTGGTGCATGTGTAGAGATATGTGGTTGTTCGTCCTCTGAATCATCTTGGTGTTGGCTGAAAATTTCATCTTCGTCTTCATCCTCACTAAAAGGATCAACGACTTCAATTGGGAGGCCAACAATTTCGTTCTCTTGTGTGGGTAGTTCTTCGTTGATGTTGGTGGAAGACTCACTTAGAAGTTGGGTAAAAGGGATGTAGTCATTATGTGTGGGTATTTCTGGGTCAGTGTTTGGGAAAACTTGGTAAGGTAATGGTGAAATTTCTGGTGAGTGTGTGTTGGGGTATGAATAAGAAGAAGTTTTAAATGAAACAAAAATTTCAATACCACATAGACTTGAGTTTGAATCATGAACATCGAACATGACCTCCACATCGTCATCATCTTTCAACTCAACAGCAATGAAGTTGTTGATCCCAACTCCGAGTCTAGTTGGACAGCGAAAATGGATGATTGCTACATTTTCGTGAGATTCTTTCTCCAATTTCTTGTGGATCAACTTCTTCAACCTTTGTAGAGAAATTCCTCTCTTTAAAGGAACAAGTTTTGCAGTCCCAGTATTGAAGGTAACTCCCTCCATGGGACATGTGTTCATGAAACCATCATAGTGGACAATAGTAGACACTACACCCATTTTAGGAGTGTGGAACACAAAGAAGACTAAAGGTAAGAAGAAGAAATAATGCAAATAGCTTCAAAGATTTAGGAGTATGCAATGTGAGAACTTCAAAGAATGAAAATGGTCTATTTATAATGAAGTCCATTGGTTTGAATCCAATGCTCCCTCACATGGTTTCTGACGCACATAAAACCCAAACAAAGTGGGTGGGTCAACATCTCTTTAAATATGTTTGGATTCTTCTGCTTTTGTCTAACCCAATGTAGGGAATCCAAGATTGGAATCCTAACTTAGGTGGGTAACTCAGCATTGGATTCTTTACTTGTGTGCATCAAAAAGACATGGGAATCCTGACTTAGGTAGGTGACTCAGCATTGTAAATAGTTGCAGGTTTCCTCGTTCAAGCGATGGGTTTCTCGCTTGAGCGAGAATTGACCACAGGCTAAACGTCCAACGCAGTTAATCACATAATGCAACTTGGGTCACCACATATTTCAATCACTTCTCGCTTAAGTGAAAGTACCCGTCGCTTGAGCGAGAATTGACCCCAGATTTTAGATAGCGGTTCTAGAACTAACCACTTTTAAAAGTATATTTTAGATAGCGATTAACGTGGAACTGCTATTATATATTAACTTTTAAGAGCGGTTAAAATATTAACCGCTCTTAAAAGTGACACATATGATAGCGGTTCCACTTTAACCGCTCTTAAAAGTGATAAATATATGATAGCGGTTCCACGTTAACCGTTTTTAACCGCTATTATAGAACATGTGGAACCGCCATTACATGTGTTTTCTCGTAATGGTTTCACGCTGAGAGAAATAATCGATCATAATTTTGTATATTCGATTATTTTAAAATTATAATCGATTAGTTCAAATTATAATCGATATAAATTTCTTCGCCAGCGATGGATGTCTCGCTGACGAGAATTGACCACGGTCCAACGCAGTTACCCAATCAATTCTCGCTCGAGCGAAATAACTTATCGCTTGAGCGAGAATTGACCACAGGCTAAACGTCCAACGCAGTTAGTCACATAACGCAACATGGGTCACCACATGTTTTAATCACTTCTCGTTCAAGCGAAAATACCCGTCGCTTGAGCGAAAATTGACTGGAGATTACCCCTTTGTTACAGATTTCCTCGCTCAAGCGAAGGGTTTCTTCGTTTGAGCGAGAATTGATTACGCGAAATAATCGATCATAATATAAAATAATCGATTATTTTAATACGTGAACAAGTAAATAGTGTTAATGATGTAAATAATGTTTCAGATATATTATTTTAAAAAATATTTTTAAAATTATATTATTTATGAAAAAAATTACATCTATAACGTCAATATCATATCACTTTCACATCATCCACTTTAATCACTATAATTTTATATATATATATATATTTTTACTAAACAGTCAACATCATATCACTGTCACATCATTCACTGTGATCACCACAATTTACACGTTTATCACACTCTACCAAAAGGTAGAATATAGGACAATACACACAAATGTACATGATAATAATATTCAAATAATAATGTTTAATAATAAAAACCAGGAAAGTGAATGAAACCTGATCTAACTTTTCAAGAAAGGGGTAATTTTAGAAGATATATGTTTTTTTTTTACTCTTTTCACTTTATATATAAGTGAAAAATAAATACGTAGAACCCAATGAAAAATAACATTTATCTTTGTTATCTTCTTTATTATCAAATAAAAAGATGTTTTCGTTTTACTCATTTTCTGCATATTTCACTCCTTATATTTTCCCTTCAAACAAAAAGACTTAGGAGATGAGTCCTTTTTGAGATATAAAGATTACTGAAGTAAGTTTTGTTTCGTCTAACATAACCTTTTTCTGTACAAATGGTCAAGAATTGAACCTTAATTAGCATGCTTAAAGGTCTCAGCTATTTCCTATCAATGCTGACTTGGTGGGTTGTGGATTGGTGTGTCTTCCATTAACTAGTTAGTATAATTAATTTAATCCTTATTAATTTCAGTTATTTTCCACAACTATTAAAGTATTTCTTTTACTAGCTCCTTTTCAATCATCTAATCAAAATACTCTACAAATTTTTTCATCTTTGTTAGTTTATAAAACTCTATTGTAAAAGTGTATATTATTCATCAATAAAAGAAAAGACATTATTAAATAATTATATCAGGTGCACCTGCATTAAGCAATTTTATAGATTTCGACCAAAAGATTAATATAAAACATGTGACTCCAAAAGAAACAAAATATTAAAATGGAGTAGTCGAGATAATGAGCAGACCTGCAACTGTCCTAAAGCATACTGTGCACGAGGTTCTGCCATAGAAGCTTCAATATCAATGTAGAAGAGGTAGTCAAAGTACCTGCAACCAGAGAAGTTTTATGCCTAAAATCATGGTTGGACAACACATTTGTATACAAAATACCAGAATCATCGATCTTATTCACGGAGTAAAACTAATCCGTGTCTGAGAACTTTTTCGTTTCAGTATTTGAATCGGAAACTTGAAAATATTTTTTCTAGAATAAAGTGCTTGGAAGAGTTAACGGAGAAGCTTTTAAAAATTAGTTCTTTTGGACTTATTTCAATAAAATTTCATAGCGAAGCTAATGAATAAGTTGAGTAAGTGTTCAATAAAGCATTTACCCAAATGCACCCTTTAGAAACAAGTAATGTGAATCTCTAAAGGGATTTCTACATATCATGAACTATATCATATGCCCTACCATTTTTACTCTAACAAGTTTCTTGTCTCTTAGTTGTAAACTATCCATACCCCCATTATGTTCCCAGGATAAAGTATGAAACACTGGTCAGTTTGCATTTAAACTAGAAAAATTACACCCTATATTTTACTATCGCAAATCTTGAACAGAGAACAAAATTACTTACGTGGAACTCCCTTGATTTGAATCATCCACAACCCTTAATGGGCGCTGCTTCAGTGGACAGCTCTCTATCTATATTTACATGAAAAAAATAAGAGCAATGAATGTGTGTTTTAATTTCAAAACTCCAATATCAATTTCAATGACACACCTTTGACAAATTTATATCCCTCATAGCAAAAACTGCCAAGGCTTTGAACAGTACACCTGGACCTTCTTCTAGACTGAAAGCAATGCTAGTCTGAGAGGAAAGTCATGAACTCACAGTCAATTACAATGCTAGTCTTAGAACAATGAACGTGTGTTTCAATGTAAAAGAATCAATTACATGAATTCAGAAAAAAATCAATGTAAAATAACTAAAATTTGTATACCTTATGTGGCCTGTCGGTTCCAGGAATTATAGGATCCCTTGCAAGGACCAAGAAACGAGTAACGTTCTCATCATCATCCTATCAAAATCACAATGAATCAGCTAAGCTATAATCTTGTTGACTTCACCAGAAACAACAAACAGTTTTTGTGTTTTGTAGCTACAACAGAACATATTATCCAATAATAGCTAAAGATAGAGAAAGCAATATCCAGAAGTATACATTCCTCAATGAATATTGCAATCAACAAAAACTGTCTTATTTTTTCTCTGAACATCAACCATAGAATAGAATAACAATTGACAAATAAAATATAACATTAAGCACAAATCACATACAATACAACAATTTTCTTACTTGACTGTAAGAACTAGATTTATATTGAAGTACAAAATAGTTTAATTGGAGATGATTCCTTAAATCTAGAGATTTTCTTTATTTCTGATAAACAAGAAACTCGAGAATTTAGAAATAGCTGAAATAAATGGAACAAGCTCCTTAAACACAGAAAAGTAGAAAGTAAGATAGAAGAAATGAATGCTACACCAATAGACTGAGAATAAGAACCACTACTCTGCACAAACCTAGCCAACCCACCACTACCCTTAAAATAATTCTTTGTTCTCTTCTCAACATTACCTCCCTAAATAAGCATTCTCCCTCTTCCTTTCTGATTCCTCTATTCTCTTTCTCCCCTCTCTCTATGCCACGTGTGAATTCTGTGATTTCTTTTTATGTTCCCTCCTCCTTATACTCCTGCAGACCTACATCCTATTTTTAATTCCCTGCACCCTCTTTCTTTGCCCACTATAACCTCACTGAGCGGCTTATCATTTGAGAAGACAAGAATTTGAAAGCTTCAACATAGTCATCCACTATCCTGGTTTGCTTCAACTTTTTGTGGGTCTATTTGATTCGCGGAAAAGCATGCTACTACAACTTACAAGGAGATGGACAGGATAAAAAATTCAAATTTTGTTACTCGACTTATCGCGGGACAACCTTTTGTTTCAACTACAGAATATTTCAAATACAAAATTATCCCCACTTTTCTCTTATCTGTCATCCACCTCCAACTTTTCTGTCTCCCCAGTCTCTTCCTCCTCCTCCCCCCACACCCTCCACTCCCGATCCATAATTAGTTCTGTCAAATTAACTCTGACAACCTCACTTGTGTCCTTCACTTAGGAATGGGTTTCAGCCCTTGTCACCCATTCAACTGAGTCATCTCCACTTAAGGTATATAGTTCCACCTTCAATGGAGAAATGGAGAAGACCCAATTGAATGGATGAAAAGGACTAAAACCTATTTCTAAGTGAATTGGAACCTATTCTTCATCAAAACTTGTCGAAAAAATACATTTGCTCGATGTTGAAATGAAGAATTCTCTAATCGTAAAACCTCCTATTTTGGATTCAGCAGGTTGGACCAAAATGATAGAACAATTGGGAAAATTATAACATATAGTATTGAACACTGTAATCACGTATAATACAACACACTTCTTGTCCTAGAGACAGAAGTCTCCTACAAGGATTACTCCCTGTCTGAAATTGTAAATAACTACACCATCCCTATATAAACAACTTATTACCAGATGTATACTCCCTATACATAACTGCCCAAAGTTATTTTCTATGTATAAATAACTGCCATCATCCAATTCTAATACAGAACTACTTTCTAATAGATTTACTAATAGAAAATCAAATATTTTCTGCCACATACTCCTAATAATTAACTAACTTCAATCCATTAATGGTTCCATCCTAACTAACTTGGATCTCAGTTCCCATCAAGCCATCTACATATCAACACTATCAGATACCAAGGCATTCTTTATTTTGCATTTTCTTTGTATGCTAAAGCATAACTTATCTATGCACCTTTACAGTCTCTTAGAGCTTATATACTTGACAAAGAAACAACTTTCATATCGCAAGTCATGACATTTCAAAGACAAGTTTTTAAGCAAACAACCGATTGGCACAAACAAATATAAACTTCCATGGTATCAAAACAAAGGGAGAGGGATAGGAAATAATTACAATATAAATGCTATCACCAAGCAAATAAAGCATGATCAATTTCATTTTTAGAAAAACTATTGATTTGGTTACAGCTGTAATTCACTGCAAGAAAAGATGATCGAAGTTCAATATAAAAGATTGGCCCAAACATAATATCAAAACAAATCGTCCAATCCTGTGCCAGAAAGGAAAGCAATATATGGATATATGGAAGAGGCATCAACTCCTGACCCTAAGTTCGTGTTGTGATAAAGGAAAACACGAGCCAAGGCAATATAGTTTAGCAGCTCAATCTTCCATAACACATAAAGGAAGTCTTACCTGAATTCTTTCTGCTAGTATGTCAAGCCCATACACTTTTGCAGCTCGGGAACTTGCAATAGCTCCTGTGTCTCTTGCACAATTTGAGGCCACTGTCTGTTCTCAAGAGCGTAATTGTTAGGATATGTCACCGTACAACCTAATCAATACTTACTTTCAGACAGAGAGAATTCATAATACACCTGAGCAGCATCAGCAGTATCATGTGCACCAATCTTGACAACACCTAAATCACTAAGCATTTTCTCACATTGTTCTAACGCCTGCATGTACAATTATCATTGAAACAATTTAAATTTCTTAATAAAGCTAGGTATTTTGTTATCAATAGGTAAGCTTAGTGTGGTGACACAGACAGCTGTCTCAAAAAAAGACTGTTCATACACCATGTTAATTAAGACTTGAAAGTCGGCATGTAAACATGAACCATATTGAGGTTAGCAATTATTAGACAGCAGAACAGTAAACATGGTTGATGCAATCCAATAAATTGTACTATTCGCAAGTTGATGCTATCTTAAGGCAGAATCGCACATACCCATTCATTTTGTTCAAGTGAGAAACATAATGCATCATATTTATTCACTCTTTACCACAATTAAAAAATAGAAAAGAACTATATGTAATAACCAACCTGCGGATGACTGACAACAACTTCGAGGTCATCCTTTCTCACACCAGGCAATCCTAAAAGGCAGTGATTAACACGCAACTGAACCTCCCCAACAATGTGCAGCCTATGGCGAAGAAGTAAGTCATAATTACGGTGAATGCTTCCAGCAACAGAATTTTCAATGGGTAGGACAGCTTTATCCACTAACCATAATTCAACTGCCTGTGGAGGAGAATACAAATGCACAATTCCAATAACTACAATTTACAAGTGAATGCATCAAATACCCACACACACACTTTCCAAAGATATGATAAAACAAGAAATGGAACCTTGAATGCAGCTTCAAAATTGTCACATGGCACAGTCTCACATTTTGGATATGCTTTCAAAGCTGCATCCTCACTATATGCTCCCGGAAGTCCCTGTATCAGCCAACTGACTAGTTAGTAAAGGTGTAATGTCGTGAATATTTTATTTGAAAAAAAAAAAAAAAAAAAAAAAAACTATAAAACACCATACCTGATAAGCCACGCGAACCTTTGATCCATCTCTTGGAGAAGAAGAAATGTCAATTGTTGTTAATGGCTCTGCAATTACACAATGACAAAATGTTAATTAAATACCAAAAGTTACATCAGTTACTGGCTATTACTAGCAAAAGAACATAAATTGCCTCCATTATATATTGTGAAACATGATCAATGTGATAACCATAACACTGTATAAGAAAAATACAGTTGTGATTATCTGAGTACCCTAGAATTTATTGGTTAGGCAATGCTGAGGATCATTCAATTGCATATATGTTTGCTCTGATAGAATTCATAATATTTGAATCGAGAACAATATAGTACATGCCTGCACTCAAAAAGTCATAACCCATCTCCGTTGATGTCATCATACGAAGCCAAGAATTTAGGCAGTGTTACCTTGAATCCGTTACGGATTACCAGAATGACATCAGATGCAACGAACATGCTCAACCATTTGGAAATTTTGTCGTATGGCATAATTAGTCTAGTGCCTTTCTACATATCTTACAATCACAAACGTAACTAGTCACATCATAAACAATCTCTCTTTCAGGTAGTTTTCATTTCCAACAACTAGACTCAGAGGAATTGGGAAAAACAAAGAAAGGAGCAGCCAAGCGAGAAAATTTAACCAAGAATACATCTAACAGAAGAAAATGACCAATTACAGCCAAGCGATAAAGTTTCTTTCAGCTTTGACAAAAAATTCTCCAATTAAAGGATGATACATGTTTATTTATTAAAATTCTAAAACACGCATTCAGTGGAAGTCATTTGTTAACGGAGAGAACATTCGTGTGTAGTCATTTGAATGGACAAGTTGAAGAATATGATCCAATTTTCTCTTAAGAAAGGGAGACATGTTAGGTATTTCGAAAGGATCTAATAAAAATAGAGATTCTCACAAATAGGTGATGAGCTAACCATATAAAAGAATATAACATCACCTTCAACTTAAAACCTTTAGGCATTAGGTTATTGATATTTCTTACTTATAAGTTAACTTTTCCATTTCTATTCAATAACTTAACGGACTCGCTTTGCCTGAAACCTGAGTCAATTGAGCTAGTCATCAGATAAATCATGGACTCTAATACCAGAGTTAAATATTTTCGAGAGGACTAACAGGACTCACTTGCCTGAAACCTGAGTCAGCTGAGCCGGTTATCGGATAAATCATCGACTCTTGTACCAGAGTTAAGTATTTTTAAGGGGCTAACAATAGGAAAATTTTCACATATGGATATAAGAGAATATAACAATACCTTCAACCCAAACCTTAAGACATTGGGTTATGCGTCTTTCTCCTTTATAATTTACTCAATTTTTCCATTTCTACCAATGGGACCTCAACAGGACAAAACTGTAAAGAAGAAACCAGCTCAATGATGATATCAAATGCATATATTGTGAACATCTTGCCCTGCTAGCATCAACCACAAAATTGTTTGTGAAAATTGAAAAAAGCAAAAGGCACCAGTAACAAAATTATCCCTCCAAAACAACATAAGGAGAAACGTTATTTCATAACCGAAGTTAGTCATGAAATCAGCAACATTTATAACTTTAAACATCAGCACAACACGAGAATTCTCAGAATGGCGGTTAAACATAAAAACAAAATTTATGGTGGGACAGGGCAGGGAGATATTATGTAACTCACTAGGAAGCTGGTTAATATCCTTGTGAAATCCCTTTGACTCATTTTGGTGAACACCGTCAGCAGCCCCAGAAGAATGAACCAAAGGGAGAGGGACATTGAGCCCCTCATCTTCAACAGCAGTGGTAGCTCTCTGAGCCAAAACACCCAAACAACAGCATTCCCATCTGCGACATTTGTCAAAATCATATCGTAGATTCCCAATCGGGGTAGAATGAGAATTGGCAAGACCAACACCCAATTGAGGGGGAGGAGTTTTGGAATAACCCCAGATGGATACAGTCTTAAGAGCCATCAGAATGAAGAAACCCAATCTACAATGCGAAGGAAGAAGGAGAGAGAAGTTCTGAATTCATCAGAGTGGTGATGGTTGGTGAGTTTGGGTGATTCACAGCATGACATTGTTTAAATAATAAAATAAGTAGTGTGAATGAATGAATTACGGTTGGCGCTTAGAATTTTGGGTGACCCCACAATAAACGGAACAGGTGGTATACGTATATGAACTGTCCAGTGCTCCCACCAGTTCAAGCAAAAGCTTTTGTTCAGTGATTAAAATGCAAGAGAAATTAGAAAAAGACCAACCAAACAAAACAATTCGCCAGCTTGTTGGTCTCTCATAACTGATTTAGAGGACTCAAGAAATATAAAGGAAGTTACAATTAAACTGTGTAATAAATATTCCACTTTCACATTTTTTTTTTAAATCTATTCTTACCTCCTTAACCGTTTGAAAAGTAAAAAAAATAATAATATATATATATATATATTTTAATTTAAACAATCTCATTTTTTTATTATTTTTTTTTCACCTACTAAGAGACAGGTAGGTGAGCAGAATTGCCGCATTTCACAAGTTTCCTTTCATCTACGGTATTATAGACGGAACAATTATAATAATAATAATATAATTTTTATATTAATTTATTTGATAATTTTATAGATAAATATATTTCTGAAATATTAAAATATTAAATAATATAATATATTTTTAGAAAATATTTTAAAAATATAATAATATTCTTTAAAGACAGATGGGAGAGATATCTCGTTAAAAAAAATAATTATAAAAAATCTAGTTAATAATCTGAACAGAGTATTTTGTTTCTAAACTTACGGAACTCGTTAATTCACGTACACTTCTCAACTTGTTAAAAATTTTAAAGATATAGATAAATTTAAATGAAAATGAAAATCAACATGAATAAAATAAGTGAAGTGAATTTTAGTTATTGGATCTCTTATGATTCATTTTTAATAGGTTTCTTATATTTTAAATTTTTTTTACCTAAACTGTTTATATCATTTAATTAATTGATATTTTAAATTATTATTAATATTACTATTAATATCTTTCGGGCGTTCATACACTCAACTTGAACATTCATCTAAGTGAAGCAAATTGACAATATTGTAACAAGTCATTTAGCTAGGGATAGTAACAATTTGTTTTATTGAAAACTTTATTTTTAATTATTATTAAATTGGAAGTATATTTCTTTTTTCTCTATAAAATATTAACATTTATAAAAAAATACAAAAGACATTTGTCAAATGGGTACATGGATGCATAAGTGAGGATGTTTAAGCTATGATAATAAATGTAGTAGAATTGGTAGATGGAAACATAAATCACCTACCAATTGTGTCAACAACTACACAAGGCATGGTCTATTTCAATAGCTTAAAACTACAATTATAAGTAAGCAAGTCAATTATAAATGGCGACTATAATTTGTAGTCACAAACCTGGGTCAAAATTCAATATTCACCGTGTATTTTAAGTTAGTATGTGCGCATAAGATTTATGGATTAAATTTTCGGGTTTGCAGATACGTTACTTAGCCCATACAATAAATTTTTTTTTTAAATCGACACACTATATATTTAATATACTCTTGGTTATATTATTTTTTTATAATTCTAATTCATAAAATTTTAAATAAAATATAATAATAATTAATTTTAAAGATTTAAAAAAATATTTAATATTTATTTTAAATAATAAATATAAAATTAACATGAAAAGTCATTATTTTTTAATTATAATTAATTTTAAAAAATATGCAATATTTAATTTTTAATAATGATTTAAAATTATTAAATAATGTTATATTTAATGAATTTAAATATTAAAAATAACAAATATATACAAATAAACAAAATAGACTAAATAATATGAAAATTTATAAATAAATTATTAATTTATACATTAAAAATATATATAAACTATACCGATAAATCTGTCCCGTGGTTTAATTGGTAAGAATTACGAATTATGGGACAAAACAAAGTGCGCTGCAAATTAAAAATATTTACTTCACCCAACGTATTTTCCCCTAATTACAACTTAATTAAATTTACCGGTTTAATTCTAATTTACTATACTGTAATAAAACGTTAATTAATAAAAAATTATCCTTTGAATGATTTTTAATATCATTATCACAGGATGAAAATATAAAATTCTGTATACACTTCGTAAAACATGATTATCAAACGATGGAAAGATCCAAAGAAGAAATTAAAATGAGGTAGTGCTAAGAAATAATTTAACTCTGACGCAGGAAAACGCGTATTGTGGATGAATTTGACATGGTCTAAGCTTAATTTAATTATTTAAGTCTAAACTCTGAAGCAATATTAGGAGGAGATGGAGCAAAGTCACCATTTTCTTTCCAACATTTCTTCCACTCAAAAGTTCCCCTGTTCAGAGGTTTCCTTTTGGGGTAGGTAAAAGAAGAAAGAAAGACCCAACTTTGGGCATAATTAAGAAAAACATAACTGATTATTTTAAAAATTTGACTTTACTTTTTCTTAAATTACATTATTTACTTTACATTTCAAATTAAAAATAAAATCAAACTAAATCAAAATAAACTATTTATTATATTTTGTTTTGTTTTATTTAAAATAATTACTAATTAACAAATATATGCTTCTAGAAGATTATTTTATGGTTTAATTATGTCTTATTTATAATATTTATTTTTATCAGATAAGATAATAATTTTTGTTTTTAAGTTTTTAGTTATAAATTATGTAATTTACTTTGAAATGTAATAATAATTAAATAAAAACATTATAGTAACAATTCTATTTATAGTAAAAACTATTGTAGATTTTGTTTTCATCTTCTTGCTTTTTTGTTGTGATAATTATTAGTTAATTTATTTTGATTAATTGATGTATTATAGTCTCTTTTCTACCGCCGACAATAGTAAATACATTCCTTTATTGTGGTTTCCCGTGAAAAATAATTTGATGCATATATTATATTTATCAAATTTATTATAAGGTTTTAAACACGAAACACTTCTTACTTTTGATTATTTTTGTTTATTCTAATAACTAAAAACTTATAAGTTTAGAAAGTGTTTCAATTAAATTTTAAAAAATCAATATGTTATTGAGTAATTAATATAAAGTCAATTTTTATTATATATCTTTTGATAAAAGTATTTATAGATTTTTTTTATGGTAAACTTGAATTTTTAGTATTAATTCAATCATTTTTTAATTATTTAATGAAAATAATAAATTCAAAAAATGTAAAATAAAAAAAAGATTATAGAAAGATAAATTGATGAAAATATAAATGATAATAAATGTAAATCATGAAAAACATAAATTGTAGGAAATATAAAATACTAAAAATTAAATTACCGGTGAAAATATGATTAAAATCACACAAAAAAATCTATTAAAATATATTTTAATATAATTTGTCATCTTTTTTTTATCCTATTTATATTATTATCCATCATAACAATTAAAAAATAAAATAAAATAAATATGGTTTCTTTCTTACTAGTCATTTCTTCTCTTTTTTTCGAGTAATTACATGATGATGCGTAATGTTTATAATTCTGTCTGTCTTGTAACATTCCATGATCTTCTCCGAATAAGATGCCTTGATTTTGAAACTCGCTTCTGATGTTCTATTGCCTTTTTTTTTCTTCATCAATTCTTATTTTCTTTCTTTTATTGACATAATTAATCTTATTTCAACCATTCTTTCTAACTTCAATTCTTTCCTTAAATTTTCTTCTTCCGGTCTTTTACCTCAAGTCCACTACTATTTTTATAAATTTTACTGGTTCTTTATCAACATCTCGAATGCCAAACTAATATTCTTAATCTTGATATTCTTTAAAATTAATTCGTTCTATCAATTTATAAAGTAAAATATGGACTACTATTAGATTTTATCCATATATGAAGAGATTTATCACATAACAAATATTCAACTAGTGTGTTGAAGAAGCTCACAACAACTAATGTCAAAAGGAAAAGATGCAAGAAAAGAATTCAAACAGAAAACATACCTGCTGTGCCAAGAACAATAATAATATAAATGTTTGCCTAAAAGTTCAATATTAATATTAAATATTATCTAATGTAAAAAAACTAATGATATTTAAATCAATGAAAATTGAAGTTTAATATAATATTAAATACAATAATTCATAACCTTTAAAATAAAAATAACACAGAAAAAAACGACTATTTTAAAAACTAAAAAAATGAATATTTTATGTAAAAAAGGAAAATATATTTATGTATAGAATAAATAATATTAAAATATAAACATTACATCTATTTTAAAAAATGTCAACAATTTTAAAAATAAATTGATGTTTTTTGTATTTTCAAAACAATTGAAAAATATTTTAATTTATTATTTCAAACCAAATTTAAAATAAAAATAGTTTACAAAATAATAAATTAAAGTATTACACAAATTAAAAATATAAAACAAATCAGGGGCCTACATTGTAAGTAGTTTTGTTTTCGTTCTTTTATCAGTTTAGATATATTTAGACAAAAAATAAAAAAAATTTAAATAAAATTTACTACAGAACTTATATAAATTAATTTTAAATTTTGAAAAATTATTTTAAAAATGGAAATTAATATTTTATATGATTGGACTAGCACATGAAAAGAAAAGAAAAAAGTTTAACATATATCTTATTATATTTTTTTTATGTTTTTTGAATCTAGAAGGAGGAAACGAGAATACAAAATTGAGTTAAAAAGTTAAAAAAAGTGTCATTGAGTTGCAAAGTATTTGAATTTTATTATATTTATCTCAAGTGATAAAAAAAATAAAAAAAATTGTTATTGTTGTTGTAATCTAATGAATATTTGTTGGTATATTTTGTTATCTTTAATTTTGTGGTGTCCTTTGAACAGCAAAGGATAAATAAAATAAAGAACCCTACTACTAATGCTTGCAATGGCTTGTGATGTACTTAATTAACCACGTGATGTCATTAAAAAGCACAGCGATGCCAACTGGAAGTTGAATACCATATAAAAGTAAGTTAAGGAAGGGTAGTTGAGTGAGGATGAAATGAGGTTGAAACAGAAAAACCCTAAGGCTTTCTTTGGTTGGAGTGATTTGAGGGAGTGGAAATGAGAGAGTGGAAAAGGAGGGATTTGAAGAGAAAGGGAGATGAATGAAAAGTGAAAGGAAAGTTTATGGGAAATTGTGAATGATTTGATTGATATGAGATATAAAAATTATAATTTTATGTTGATTATTTAAGAAAATTACCATTTTACCCTTTGTATAAAATAAGGTTCAAATGATTATAAATATAAATTTTTAATTAATTATCCATATTTTAACATTGATTATATATTTAAAAGGAAAAAACAAAATTAAAAGTGTTTGTAATTGGAAATAAATTTAAAAAAATAACTTTTTTTAGATAGTTATTAAAAATTATATAAATAAACAATTACAAAATTATGTACATTACATATCCATATTCAAATAATGTTGACATATTAAATAAATTATTTGACTAATAATTAAATAATTATAAAATATAAAATAATAATTAATATTGACTGATAATAACAAATAATTATGAAAACTAATAATATAATTGTACATTATTGTTTAAAACAAATATAAAATACAAGTGAAAATAGAATAATAATTAAGAAGTGATAAAGTGTAATGTTATTGATGTTAATTTTAACAATAATACAATAATATTATTTTCGAAAATGCCCATATGAATGTGAATATTTTGATTATTATTATATAAAATAATTAAAAGAATAAGGTAAATAGAAAAGTAAAATGCATGGTTATACCACTTTCCTTTTAATCTATAATTAGTTAGGTATGAATCAAATGTAAAGTCTAATGTTATTGATGCTAATTTTAAGAAGATCACAAAATGTAAATTAAATAACTACAATATAAATTTCTACTTTGAAAATGAACAATATAATTAAACTCAAAATTGAGAATACTCTTATACATTTTTGAACTCTTTTGGATAAATTTTGTTTTCCTAATTTTTGATAAAGTTAATTTTAATATTTAAAAGTATTTAACATTTTGAATTCTGAAAGGTTTTCTCTAATAGCAAATTTAAAAACATAATATTCAAAAAAATATTTTAAGATTCGATCTCGGGTTGCATTTAGCTCGAGCGACTATATCTCGCTCGAGCGAAAAGCGATCCTGATCGATCATAATTCGAAATGATCGATCATAATTGGAGGATATAATAGCGGTTCCTCTATGCATAGCTATTTAAAGTATATATTAGATAGCGGTTATGGTTTAACCGCTATTACAAGTTATATTTCAGCTGAGCTACATTAAACTCGCTCGAGCGAAGACACTGCACATAATTTTCATCATCGGGTTGTCTTTCAGCTTGAGCGAATCGATCTCGCTCGAGCGACTAGCAAAGTATGATCTCGCTCGATTTATTTTAATCGATTAAAACACGTTTTAATCGATTAAAACCACTTTGGAAGTCAGGATGATCGATCAGAATGTAATTATGACCGATCAGAGTTGGTTATGATCGATCAAATTGAATTATGACCGATCAGACTTATTTCAATCGATTAAAACAAATTTCAATCGATTAAAATGACTTGAAAATTTTTGTACTGAGTTTCAATCGATTAAAATGCATTTCAATCGATTAAAATGACTTAAAAAAATTACATGCAGGTTTTTAATCGATTAAAACTTCTTTGTATCAGTTAAAATAACTTGAAAAGTGTTATAAGAAAGTTTTAAAGCTGAATCAATCGATTAAACCGCGAATCAATCGATTAAATCACTCTTAGAAAATGTTTGTAAAAAGTTTTAAGCTGATAAAAACTTGGTCGTATCGACTAAAACAATTCAGTTAAAGAACAAGAACGCATTAATGGGTTGAAAGGACTTTTAACAGATTATAACAGCTATTTCAACATATTAAAACAAACTTTGAGCAGATTAATTAATGCAGTTTTTTCGAAAACTCTTTTATAAACAGAATTGCTTGGAACTTTTATCATATCGGTTTTTAAAAAAACAAAGCAATAAATTTATTGGGTGAACCAAGTATAACAATTGCTTGGGTGTGACAAGTATAACAATTTATTGGGTGAACCAGGTATAACAATTTATTGGGTGAACTAGTATAACAATTTATTGTTTCCCTAATTTTTGATAAAGTTAATTTTAATATTTAAATTTATTAGAGGTTAAGGTTTAACCTCTATTATAAGCTCCCTTTAAGAATGGTTCTTAAAGTGTTCCATCAACTCCCTGCTGCTTCTCAATTCCTGATTGAATCGAGTGCGAGTCGGATTAAAGAAAGTAGAGTCGGATGTTATTGCCTTTGCCCCCACGCCGACTTGCTCTCTAATCCCACTGCGGATTGGATTGAGCTGAAAAAGCGGAGCTTAGGTAAGCTACAAGCAACTCTCAAAGCGTGAGCTCATAAGGCTGTATTTCGCTCGAGCGACTATATCTCGCTCGAGCGAAATACTGATCCTGATCGATCATAAGTTCGAAATGATCGATCATAATTGTTGTATATGATAGCGGTCCTCATGCATCAGCTATCTAAAGTGTATATTAGATAGCGGTTCCAGTGGAACCGCTATCATATACAACTATATTTTAATTTATTGAGGCTCGACTAGTTTTTCAGCTGAGCGACTATATCTCGCTCGAGCGAAATATGATTCCGATCGATTAGATTTATGAAATGATCGATCATAATTGGAGGATATAATAGCGGTTCCTCTCATGCATCGCTATCTAAAGTGATATATAATAGCGGTTAAGATATAACCGCTATTAGAAGTGATATATAATAGCGGTTATGTTTTAACCGCTATTAGAAGTGATATATAATAGCGGTTAAGTTTTAACCGCTATTAGAAATGCTATTATAATAGCGGTTAAGATTTAACCGCTATCATATGGAACAGGGTAACTTGGACTTTTCTTTATCTCCAGCAGACTTTCGTCGCTTTTCTTTGCAGATTAGCGAAGAAAGCTTCTCTCCCCTCTCACGCATTTCCTCGCCTGCATTTCTTCGCAAATCTGTTCAACTAAATGTGGGTGAATCTCGTGTTTCTGTCGTCGAGAATAGTATTTGATCGCAAATCAGTTCAAACAAATACATTGTAAGGAAGAAGAAAGCGAAGGTGACAAAGTGACAGGGGGTGCTACCTCATCCCCAGGCACAAACCCTACCCTTGCGCACTTTTAACAGTGTCTCTTTCGTTTTTACAAAAAGCCGTGCCCGCTTCACCCTATCATTCGTCCATTCACTCCAATCCAATCAAATCCCAATCCCATCGGACCATTATACCCCTTCATTCCATGATAATCCATATCGGCAGAACCCTTTCACTACTAAACTAGAAAATTATTTCTCCCAAGGCTTCTAACATGGCCAAGTCCACCAATCCTCCCACCATAAAACCCCAAAATTACGCTCACAGTCCCGTTCACTACGCCGTCGTGTTGGCCGATCACACCACTCTCTCCAGAATCATCTCCTCGCTACCGCGTCTCCCCGATCCTTCTCTAATCCAAAACGAATCCGATTCCCTCGCGCAAGAAAAAATTGCTGAGCAGATCTCCGCGGTCCTCGACCGCCGCGACGTTCCTTACCGAGAAACGCCTCTCCACCTTGCCGTCCGACTCAATGACCTCTTCGCAGCCCGGGCTCTAGCCACTGCCGGTGCCGACGTCTCCCTCCAGAACTCCGCTGGCTGGAACGCCCTGCAGGAGGCTCTCTGCCGCCGCGCCTCCGACATCGCGCTCGTCCTCCTCCGCCTCCACCACCGCAATGCCTGGTGCAAGTGGCGCCGCCGCCTCCCGCGTGTCATCGCCGTGCTCCGTCGCATGCGCGACTTCTACATGGAGATTTCCTTCCACTTCGAGAGCTCCGTCATTCCCTTCGTCGGCAAGATCGCCCCATCCGACACCTACAAAATATGGAAGCGCGACGGCAACCTCCGCGCCGACACCTCGCTCGCCGGCTTCGACGGTCTCAAGATCCAGCGCGCTGACCAGAGCTTCCTCTTCCTCGGTGACAGCGATCACGTGCACGACGTCCCGCCCGGTTCGCTCCTCGTCCTTAACCGCGACGAGCGCAAAATCTTCGATGCCTTCGAGAACGTCGGTGGACCGATGAACGAGTCCGACGCCGCCGGTTTCTGTTCGCAGACGAGTGTATACCGTCCGGGCATGGACGTTACTAAGGCAGAGCTTGTAGGCAGAACGAATTGGCGAAGGCAAGAGAAAACAGAGAGCGTGGGAGAATGGAAGGCAAAGGTGTACGAGATGCATAACGTTGTTTTCAGTTTCCGGTCACGGAAAGTTGCTGGCGGTGATTCTGACGTGGCAGGGAGCGAGCAAGTGTTGCCGTTGGAACTGGACGAAGACGACGACGGTTTTCTCGTTGCGGAGAATCCCAATGTCGGGTTCCCAATGCCAGACAAAAGAAGACACAGTAGCTTCGTTCGAGAAGAGAGAGAGTGGGTCCCAATGGGAAGGAAAAGCGTCGACCTAACGTCCGTAACGGCCCCACCACCACGAAGGCCTTCGGCAAGCGTGACTATGCCACAGACCAAGGAAAAAGAGTACGTTAGAAGCTTACGGCCGTCAGTGTGGCTAACGGAGCAGTTTCCGTTGAAGACGGAGGAGCTTCTGCCGTTACTCGACATACTCGCCAATAAGGTGAAAGCAGTGAGGAGGCTAAGAGAGATACTCACAACCACGTTCCCGCCGGGAACTTTTCCCGTTAAGGTAAGGGCATTACGGGAATAAATATTATTTGTAGTCTTTTTATAATTCAGATTCTATTTTGGCTTTACTGTCGTTAGTCTATTATTATTATTTTTTTGTGGGCCTGAGCTGAAGAATCCCTCCATGAGAATTAGAATTTGGAAGAGGAAAGAAGCTTTGGTGGGGGCCATGTCGTCAGTTGAAAAATTATTTGGATGAACAGTGATGAGGAAAACAGGCATGGTCATGATGACGTGGTGTTGGATCTGTTTGGCGTGTAGTGGTGCGACTGCTGATGACCCTACCTTACTGCCAACGTCCATAGAGAAGTCAATGTCGGGGGGTTGACCGTGATTTGTCCACCGTTAACACAACATTCACCTAATATTGTGAGGAATAATACTTTCACATGCAAGTGTAGGAGATATGAGGAATGTGGGTATGGAAAATTGTTTTATTTTATTCTAAGTAAATAATAATTATGGTTGTGGTGGGGTCAGGTGGCTATACCGGTGGTGCCTACTGTGAGGGTGGTGATTACTTTCACAAAGTTCGTTGAGCTGCAACCTCTGGAGCAATTCTACACTCCATTCTCGAGTCCAAGACATTTGCTCAGTGGCGCAGGTGCAATCAGAGGAGAAGAGCAACATAACAAAGCAGAAAACAGATGCTCCTCTTCGAGCGCATCGTCCGTAGCATCCACGTGGCTGAGACGAAGTAATAGCGTGTCGGGTGCGGGGAATAAGCAGCAGCAGCAGCAACGATGTTCCTCCTCGATGGCATTGGATTCGGACCCTTTCGCGATTCCTGCGGGATATACATGGGCGAGTGTGGATGACAAATCGCGGAAAATGAAGAAATCCAAGTCCGTGAGAAAGTCAAAGTAAAGGAACGGAAAAGACTAAAATGAACAGAATAGGAATGGTGTCTAGTTAGATTGATTTTAGAGTCGAATATGTAGATAGATATGCCGTCTAATTTTTTTCTCGACTGGGGCTTGGGGCGGGGGAAATGGTGTTCACGGCTACAGGCTACAGCTTCTAATGGAGTCACCCAAAAGGTGCTTGGAAGCAAGGGCCTCATTTCTTTGTTTACAGTTTTGTTTTATCTGTGGTCGTTGAATCATTACATGCATTGATTCTTTTCTTTCAATTTGTTCGTTAATTCTGCATATACATGGTCTGCTTGGGTGGGAGGGAAGAGGCCATGCCACTGCTTTGAATAGTGTTTTTTCTTCGCCAACTTGCTTTCCAATCCTCCTCAACAATGAAGACATAATTACATAAAACTCCCCGTTATAGTCTGCAATTTTACATATTAACAACTACTTATTCACTACATGCTTAACGCAAACAATACTACAAAAGGGATAAATAACCACAAAATTCCAATTGATAAGTCATTCTCTAACTACTACTGTCTAATAATTGATCATTATTTTAGATGTTATTGGACAGTTCTTTATCTACACTACGGCAGCCTGGATAAAATACTTTTTGTATTTTTTTCTTTTCTTTTGATGACTATAATGACTTTGTAATCTTAATTGTATTTTTATTTCAAGTTTATTTACATATTTATCATTTAATTGTTATCATATTGTAAATTTTACTATTTAAGTATTTTCTTATAGGTTTTTCCATTTAAATGTTCAATTTTTATAAATTTTATCAATTCATCAAATGTCTAACATAATGATGTCACAATATATAGAGGTCATATGAATTAACAAAAAATTATTGTTGGAGAATTTTATCCTTATAATTGAAAAGAAGAAAAAGTTGAAACAAAAGAGGAAGCGAGGATAGTTTAGAAGGTTTGAAATATGCGGATACATTCTTAACAGATGAGCAGGTAGAGAACAACTTCTATTCCCTGCCCATTAAAATTTGATAACTCTTGTTCCTGATCGATTATTATTTTTATGCTTGTTTATCTATATTATATAATAGTTATTAATTTTAACGTCTATATTTTATGAGTAATAATAATAATAATAATAATAATAAATTTATATATTTAATTTGTTATTTTGAATTAATTTATTAATAAAAAACTTGATATTAATTATAAATAAATAATTAAATAAAATCATATCATAACAGAAATATTTTCTTTTATTTTCAATCAAAATTATCTTTGTTTTTACTATATGTCCTATATTATTTATTTTTTCTTTTTTATTTATTTTATCTCTTCTTCATTTCCTTCAATTCTATTAAGCAAAGCATTAGTTAAAAACCTCATTAGACCCTCTCCATCTCCACCCTGATTTCTGCGTTACATTGTGTTGGTCTTGCTCGCGAGTTAACCAATTTCTGTCACTTATATAAAAGGGCATGTCCAATTCTAAACCTCTTTTTATAAGAATATTTTCTCTACACTTTAGAGGCAAATAGGGGCACCTTGGAACCCAATCCCAACTCCTGCTTCAAACATTACTAACGTAAAGTGGCAAAAAGCAAATCATAAAAAATAAAAAATAAAAGGGAAAATTAAAGAATTTTTTAATTGTAAAATATTTAAATATAAGAAAATATACTCACCTTTTTCAAAGTTTAAAGTTGTGATTAAATTTTTAATGTTTTAGGAGTTTATTTGCTTTCATCGTGAGTGTGCAATGCAAAACAAATAAGTAGAGAAAATTCAAAAAGACAGGGTTCCGTTGGTGGATGCAAAAATTGAGAGAACTAAATACAAGTGCCAGGTCATCACGTGAGATTTTAATTGACAAATTTGATTTGAACTATAAAAATAATCTAACAGTTATTAAATCTCATCATCACTCACAAAAAAACTTTTCCTCACATTAATGTCCTCTGTATATAAACAAACAACAACATTTAGTAATTAACTTTTGTACGATGAAAATGACCACCCTTAATTTATTTTGAATGAATTAATTTAGTATAAACAAACATAGTTAATGGGTAGACTTTTAGAACAATCAAAATTAAGAATTTTGTCAAAATTAACTTCAATTTCTATTTTTCTGTATATTTATTCTTAGTTTTTTTTTTATAATATATTTAGAGTGAAGTATCATTCAATTTAGGAAAAGATAACAACATTGTCTGATTATTCTTTAAAATAGTTATAGTTTTAGTGGTAATTAAATTCTTTTTTTTTAAATGACAAATTTTCGTCATGCCTTCTTACATAAATTGCACCTTTTCTCATTTCTCCTGAGCATGAATCCTTATTTAAGTTTAATCCTACATAAACTGCATAAGAGGTCGACCTAAATTGAGATCTTCTCCATCAAAATATAAAAGAGGAAAGCTAGATTGCATGTTATGTGACTGTGTTCTATAAGTTCACATATTTTCATCTGCATCATTGAACATTGGACAACATTTAATGTTGTCACTGTTCATATGATAACAAAGTTGCTAATAGAAAATGATAGAAAGACAAACATACAAACTACAAGTTATAAGATTTCATCCACCTAAATTTTTCGTTAATAAACCTAACTGTCAGGTCTATATTTCACTTATTTTATTTTTCTAACGTTTTTTACTTAATAAAGTAAATTTTAGCACTGCCGATAACTTTTTATTTGCGGTTGACAGGCGGAAGAAGTAAGACATTTAAATTTTAATACAAGTCGTAGTTGAAGTTGATAATCTTTTTCTGATCTTATATTGGATTATGGCTTCTTCTAATGTAAAATTTTCTTTATAAAAAAGAAAAAAAGAAAAAAAGAAAAAAAGACAAACATAAGAACATGTAATCTTCAAGAAGAAACTATTATCATTCTCATGTGCAGAGGCAGAAGGCAAGTACTTAATTTATTATGAGTACCAAAAACATACTTATTTAACTGTAGTTGAGTGTGGTTTGAATTTGAAACAGGGTTAACGTAACCATCACTTTAGTTTATGGTTGGATAAAAATGCAGGCTCATTCGTACAGAAGACGTTACCATGTCATGTAATCTTTATTCTTTTTCCCCTCTGACCCTCTCTTTTGACAAACCTTTCTTTTTCTTTTTAAAGCCTTTTTTTTATTATTATTTTTTTATTGCAGCATTGGACCACACCTATGGTTTGGTTGGATCCAATTAATCAGACACCTCCATTCACTTCCATCACCGCTTGAATCCCGGAACGTAGTTTTGTAGGAGTTACACAATTCTCACAAATCTTACTTTTTTTATGAGCTTCCATTTTTATACACACACAGCACAAAAAACCAATAAAAGCATATTAACAGGGAACTATTACTACATTATGTCAAGATTTATAAGACTGCAAATCCATGCACTGGTAAGTGTTCAACAACGTTGTATGAGAATTGACAAGTACCCTTGGCCTTCTATGACAGTGGCTCACAAACCACACCAAGGCTGAACAAAGACCAGGGTACAAGGAAGGCCTTAGTGGAGAAGCCACCTTACACTAGTATTATGTGATAGGGTTTAGTATTTATTTGATATTAAAAAAAACTAGGAAAGATGGAGCACATAGTTTGCTTAACCAGATGGGAATACTCAAACAAATAGGTGAGTTGTCAAGTCTATGAAAAAGATAAAGATGAATTACAAAAAGAAAAAGCAATGTAACATAACAGGGAGGAGAAGAGAGTGATAGACAGGCCAGGCCATCTAACATTGTTAGTTAGTCCTCTCTATACCTTTCAATATATATATATATATATATATATATATATGAGAGAGAGAGAGAGAGAGAGAGAGATCATTTCCTTCACTCTTCCTTCTGCCCCTTTGAAGTTTTGACTCTTTCCATCAACCTTCTCCATTATTCTGCATACAAATCCACCTGAATCCTTTCATTTGGAGGTACACTTGGCAAGTATTTATAGATTTGAAAGATTCCCTAGTTTTATTAGATGTGTCTTGCAATTTATATGAATTGATGATCACGTGCCCGATTGAGGGTGCAATATATTTTGAAGAAAAGTACTTAAATTTATTCCCTCATTGAGAATAAGATCAAATCGGGTACGAATTCAGCAAAGGTTTGGATTAGAGTGTAATTAAGGTTTCGCCTCCCTAGATGTGTTATGTAGCAATGATTTATTGAGATTTTGTCCCCTCATATCTAAAAGGTTTCAGATTGTATTTTATGTAGCAAAGTTTAACTGATAGTATTGTTTTATGCTGAAGGCATAGGGAAATATGGCAAGCGAAGCTCCAAGTTGGGCTGATCAATGGGGTGCTGGTGGTATTGGTGCCATGGAAGATGATGAGACAAGATCTCAAAAGGAAACAGGCAAGAACAAGAATTCAGGTTCTAAGGGTGGTTTCGGTAAGGTCAAAGCAACTGCGTCAAATTGTGTGAAATGGTTAAAAAGCCTGTGCAAAAGAAAGAGTACATCAAAGTAAATGAAAGGATATAACATATGCGTGCACTTTGTAATTCACCACTATGACAGCAGTTTTGTAACCTTTTTCTCCCCCTACTGATGAATTGAAGGTGTCGATTGTGGCATTATTTAATTCTGGAGGAAGATGCTCTTTAAATTTAGCAGTATTTAACATTGCATGATTGATTGCGTAAGAGTTAAGACATAGGATACTAGGTCATGTTTTGCTTACTTATGCATTATTGGAATATCTACAATACAAGGTCTTTTAAGGAATTTTCACGGCTCTTATCTTAATAAGACTCATTATGCTTTTACATTATTCTTAAGCCATTTCTACAAGTTTTCCTTTAATGGTGAGGTTTCATAAGAACTTACGATGATATATTTGAATGTTTTGACGATTTTTTTATTTTATTTTTTTAAAATTGGTGTTGTGAAGATACGATTGTTATTATTATTAAAACTCAGGGTCTCATAAGACGCAACTCTAAATTTTAAAACTCCAACAAAATCACATTAGTATGTTCCAATGATAATTTTTTATCAGATATGAGTATAATGGTTTAATTTTTATGCCAACAAACATTCTAAATATAATATTTAAATAATAATTATTAATAATTATCATACATAAAATTATCCATCTTACATGACTACTAATAATTAAATTACGATAAAATTTTACACTGTTCATATATTTAAATTAAATTCTAAATAATCTTAAGTTGATATGGGTAAAAACATTTGAGTTATTTCTTCAAATATATATATATATATATAATAAATTTAATTAGTTTTTACAAAAACATATTGCTAGAAAGTGGTTGTCTCACCAATGTCAGAACAGAAGTCACTGGGATACGATAAATCTCTTATTTTTGTATCAGTAGCGTTCTCTCTTTTCCCAAAATAATAATAAGCACCGTAGTGTACTCGTTGAGTCGTCACAAAAATAAAAAAAGAAAAGCAATATAAAAAAATTACAAACTTCAGCCCGCCACTAAAACGAGCAGAATTCAACTGTCAGAATAAAATTTAAATTAATGTTTTTAAAACAATACACATAATCAGAGAGCAGGAAAATCCTGCTCAGTATATATACGTAAACCATACACAATAAACAGGATAGCCATTGACTATAACAGCAGAATCTTGCAGTGTCTATTTACAGGGTAGATCATATTTTATTAAATTTAGTGGGAACCGAAAGTGTTCTCTCCACTGTAAGTCATGTAAAGAAAGCCATCATCGTCCTTATTTTCCTCATAAATGGAAGACATTAAAGCGGCTGCAACAAGAGATTTAGTTCATAAGTACAGCCAGAATTGGCAACATAATATTTTATAATTCAGTTTGAGTCGTGGCTACTTACCAGTTGGAGGTAAAGTGTTATTGATAAAAACAAAAATAGCCTTCTCCGCACTGACCTTAATCCTTTTACGGACAACATAAACAAACTGACCAACAGTCAAATCCGCTGGGACAAGGTACCTGCAGCATCACATCATGAGAAACAGGACCAAGTGACAATCCACTAATGCAGAGTAATGGTTTTATGCATTGTGGTCTAACTTACCCAAGGCTATACAATTTATGGCAAATATCTTCCTAAATGAAGTAATAGAGTGGATGCAAACTAGTTCATAAATAAAATAACCTTCTACATACAAGTGATCAGCATTTAATTATTTACATTAAACAATTATATTTTGTAAATACAACAAAAATGAAAGGAGAATACTTCACACATGCATATAAAGTACACGCCTTTGGATCACAGAAAGAAGCAGCTGATAGGGCTAGAAAGGGAAAGCTGCAAACCAATGAAAAGAATGCATTATCTTAGAATTTAGGTTGAGTACATAACTCAACTCTGGAAAACAAGTTGGTACGTAAGGACTATTCAAGTTTTATAAGTTCTATTTCGGTAGTTGATGTGGAACTAAATGCCATACTTGAAGTTGCCACAACAACCTCTATAGTGACACAACTAAGACGAGGTAAGGGTGACCACAATTAAGAGGACTTGCAAACACTCTCCCTCACACCTAGGGCTACAAGCCTGGAGCATGGCAATGCAAATGACCAAACAATGGGGTCTAGGATAAACTATGATGCCGACTTAGAATTTGGGCTTAGAATCGAACTGGATTCCCCAAAATCAGCTGATAAAATGAGAAATGTCCAAAGTAATAATCTCTATTTCTCTTCCTCTGAAGTATTTTACACTTCAAAGTGTGTTTCTACCCTGGTGATCCATCTCGCAAGGTCTTCCCCAATAAAGGCTGGAAGTTTCACTTAACTTATATATGATACCCATCCTAATATGGAATACGAAATTTAATCGCTGGTTAGAAGAATTCCCTTCCATATGATTGGAATTCTCATTTCTTCCACTGTTCTCTTCATATACAGCCTTTGCATCCTCCAGAAAATCGTCTCTTCTGTACGTCTTGTTAGGAATTAAAACCAGAAATAGAAAAGAAAAAAAATATTTTATTGAAAATTGAAATGAATGGAAAGAACAGGGAATATGGGAGACAGATCTCCTCATAGGGCATCATCTACAAATGATCACCAAGGATTTCTCCTTTCATGAAGAGCAAAAGCTCAATCTACAAATGATATCCAGATAGACTGGATCCTTTCCCTTTAGCTGAAGAGATTTATCCTCTAATGTGGTTCTAGAAAACTTCATCCGAGTAGACCTTAAGCTAGAGTCACAAATACAGACGCAGGGTTTACTTGTACATATTTGGAGTTGAGCTGGTACTCGATAATAATATATTCACTTTGCCCATAAAAACAAAGTATAAGTTCTACGAGGTTGATCTGCTACCTATTTTTCTACTTTCACCGCCCACACTCCTGTCACATTATTTCTGACACAACAACAACCACCAAAAGAAAAGACAAATCCCCAAAATCTTTACAGAAAGCATCAACCAACTTCAACAAGAACGAATACCTTTGAGACAGCAAAAATATAAATGAACACAATATTGTAAGTGGCATTTTATGTGATCACTAACTTCTTCTTATCGATGTCTGGGATGTCAGTTCTTTCGGCTCTCTCAACAATAACCTGCACACAATGGCTGCATTTCAATAAGAGTGCCTCTAGAAAACAAAAACAGCCAAACAATCTAAACCAAAAAATTACCGGTATTCTATCAGGATACTTGTCTCTAATGCGAGCAGACTCAGCCTGCCTTCTTTCTGGCATGGGAAAGAACAAAAAGTTCAATTCAGCAGTTCAAAAGGAAAACTATGCAACAAAGTATGCCTTAGATATTAAGAGAAAATACAAAGCTCAAAAGGGCGGAAAAAGTTGTCCAAGGGGAAAAGCTTGGGTGTACAGAGACAGGTATAAAAGAAACACAAACCCACAATTCAGTTTTCTACCTTACAGCGAATAAGCCAAAGATCCTTCTCAATTGTGTCATAGTACAGTTAGTCCTAATCAATTCGATTTTCATGTAGATGAACTATAATTCCTATAAATAATTTTTCTACAGAATCCAAAAGCTATCAATTTTAAATTCCAGGAATCAAAGGTTAGCGTTAGAGAATACAAGTGAGCAAGGTTTAAACTGACGAAAACCCTACCAAGGGTGATAAACACGCGGGTAGTCGTGCTTTTGTTGTGGCAATGGAACGATCATGAATAAGTAAAAATATTCGAAGAAAAGTTAAAGAAGAAGGAGAAGAGAGGACCTAAAGGATGCTCAAGCTTGAAGGAGCTTTTGGCCATGGTCTGAAAATCTGAAACAGCGAAACAATAGAAAATTGAGTAACGAAAAGAAACCTAAAAGAGAAGTGGAAGGTTGGAGAAAGGATTGACATACCCAACACACAGACACACAAGACGGATGAAGGATTGGGGAATTAGGTCGAGTGAAGAGAACAGAAGAGATGAATGGAATTGAGACGGAGAAGAAACGTATAATGACAACTTTTCCAACTTTAACTATTATTGACACTTGCCACCTTTTTTTTTTTTTTTTCTTTTCTTTTCTTTTTTATTCCAATTCCAAGTTGGACCAATGTCATCTCCCTTTCCTTCTCATTCCTATCCTATCCATTACATAATTATAAAATCTGTTTTTTCTTAATGAATTTTTCACTTCAAACAAAATATTTATATATTTTATCTATTAATTAATACAAACCTATTTAATGCCCAATTAATGCTCCAATCAAATTATAAATATTTCTGCATTCTCAGCAAAATATTTTTTATCCTAGTAAAAAAACAATAACAAAACTTTATTTACATAAAAAAAGAATTAAAAATTATTTTTATCTCATTATTTAACTATTTAATTTAATAATCTAAAATAATAATTTATTTCATAAATTAGATTAAAAAATATGATATTTTGGTAACTTGAAGTTTTTTTTTTATCAAACTTCATATTTTAAGAATGAATTTACATGTATACATAATTTTTACTAGTTTACTGGATATAATTTATATATATTTATGCTTCTCTTACTTCAAATACTCAAATACAGGTCCTAAGTTTATTTTTTTTGAACTCTTAAATTTTTAAAAATATTATATTCTTTTCGCATAAAATTTTAATTAACAAGTTAATCATATTATAACGTTTCTAAACTAATCCATATTCATTTATATTTAATAAAATCTGCATATAATCTCCCATATCTACAAGTATAAATCTCTAAATTTAGAAAAGGAAAAACTTGATTTTTTTTTAAATTTTAATCAGAATAATCTCTTTTACCCTAAAAGTATTAAAATATGTTTTCATAAAAAAAAAAGAGCAAAAGATAAATCAAATAAAAGGAATCATAAAAATAATAATTTTGTGAAAAATAAAATGGAATGGTTAAATTTCTTTATTAATAATTTTTTAACTAAATTCAAAACACAAGTATTAACTGATTAATATTTATCAATTGGAACAAACTATTATATAAAAAATCCCAACCACATATTAATAAATATTTTCTCCTTCTAACCCATTACACATCTTCTTAAACTTTTTTTGCAATGGATTTTTACAATACACACTGACAATTTTTTTTTCAATAGTAATTTTAAATCTTCCAATAACGTTATTCTTTTATTATAATTATTTGTGAAGTATGTTTAGTTATTATTTATTTGATAGTTTTGAATAATATCAACACCGTTAACATGGTTCTTTCCGTTAAAATGTTTTTTCGCTAAAAAGGTTTCTACCTGACAATTGAGAAATTATCAGTGATCAATTTAATAATTTTTTTTGCAAGAGTTTTTATTTTATTTTATTAATTAATTGATTTATTTATATATGTGTTTTTTTAATTAACTTAATTTTATATTGTAGTGTTCCTTCTAAATGTATTGTAACTTAACTTTTAAATGATTAAAATATTTGTACTTTAGGATGTAAATAGTGCTAAAAACTAAAAAAAAAATTAATAGTTAGTTATATAAATTATTTGTTGATATATTTTTTTCATTTTATTTTTAGTATCTGTGTCATTAAATCTAATAATTATAATCTCTATGCATAAACTTATAAATAGTATTATTATGTTTTAAATAATTGATTAAATGGTTCATAATAAGAACATAAAATACAATAAATTATCAATTGTTGATAACTAAATACAAAAATATATTTACAAATATACTTCTTTTTTTATTTTATTAAAATAAATATAACATAGTTATAAATATATTTATAATGTTATTTCTAAATATAATATATTTATATTGTTATTTTAGAGACTAAAACCTAAATATAATATATTGTTAACTATTTTATAATGTTCTTTATGAATATAGCATATTTATATTTTTCTAAGTATATAACTATATTTATAATATATATATATATATATATATTAATTTATTAAAAATGCAAAAAAAAAACACATTCAATATTTGGTTTTTTGAATTGAATTGAGACTCGTGAAAAAAAGATTTAGTTGTTGGAAAAACAATAATAATAATAATAATAATAATAATAATAATCATGATTTTAATTCTAACGATCAAACATAAACATAATCTCATACTCGATAAACATGTTGTAAACTGAATGCGAAAGCGTACATGAATTAATCATAACGATGATGTCTTTGTAGAAGCACTATATTGATCTTATGGTCTTCCACCTAAAGAAGCACTCGTATTTCCTCTTGATTTTCTCTCTTGATGGGGATAGAAAGAAAGGAACGGGATCGATACTTACGTTACGTGTGTGTGCTCCCGGAAGGGACCACGACCCCTTAAAATAACCAGAATTAGGTTAATTACTTAAGTTTTAGTATTTCCAATTTGGCCCCTCATCAAATTAGAAATTGCTCTATGGTCTCTACACAATTTTATTTTCATGACATATGCCTTTAGCCAAAACTTTAATTTAGTCAGATCACTTTATTATTTGGCTTAATAAATAATGACCGTAACACATTTAAATTATATATCATATATATACATGACCCAAATTTTGCCAACAATCTCCCACTGGTCACAAATATATATGTCCTTACAACCTGACAAATGTGTTAGACTTTATGAACTCAAAATTGTCATTATATTCCTTTAGTATACTCCAAAAGTCCTGTCCATTAATCATATCAAGATATAGAACCAAACCAGCTTTTCATTGCATCATCGCAACTAAAACCAACAATGATTACTCATCCTAACATAACCAAATGACATGGATTCATCATGAAATGTGTAGCATGAAAAATTACGTGAAGGTGATCTGTACACGTCTATTTTCAACTGGTCCAAACTTAATTTATCGAGATCGATATAATATCCTTAATGTACAAAGTGTAATGAATGAACGAAAAAACTGCATATCTATAGATAACCAAACATGTCCAAAAATCAATGTATACATATATGAAATTAAACATAGAACATAAAATATATGAAAGTGACTAACTCCCACTAAACCACAAATTCCTCAAACTGTAAAACACCCATGTGAGCAATATGCTCATGAAAGACCTTGGGCGGAAGTCCTTTAGTTAGAGGATATGCTATCATGGAGTTTGTCCTTAAGTGTTCTATGAAAATCTATCCACTTTGTACTCTTTCCTTAACAATACAGATGATTTATTGTCACAATATAACTTAAGTGGTATTTCAATGTCTTTCACAATTTGCAGCCATGTGACAAAATTTCTCAGCCATATTCCATGATTTGATGCCTCATAACATGTTACAAATTCTTGACATCCTACAAAATCTGAGTCAGAAAACCCAGCGATCTCCAACTGGTCTGACCTCCTATATGTGAGCATATAATATTTTGTTCTCTTTAAATATCTTATGACCCTTTTTGCTGCTTTTCAATGGTCTATTCCTGGATTGCTTAAATATCTGCCTAGAATCCCAACTATATATGCTATGTCTGGATGCGTACATACTTGGGCATAGATCAAACTCCCTACAACTGATGCATAGGGAATCTTTTGCATTTCCTCAATTTTCAAATTCCCTTTGGGCACTGATTGAGACTAAACTTGTCTCCCTTTAAACTTGTGATACATACAATCATCAATAATATTCATCTTGAAGCCAAATGAGTTTCATACCTTCTGGTAATGGGACAAGTTCCCAAAAACCTTATTGTCTTGCATGAACTTATACTTATCTTATTGCTTCAATCCACTTTTGAGAGTTAGAATCTTGTATAGCTTGACGAAAGTTAACTGGGTCATCTTCCATTATATCATTATTTTCCTCATGTTCATGAAGAAATACCATGTAATCATCCGAAATAACACTTCTTCTTTCTCTAGTGGATCTCTGCAAAGTTATTAGCTCATGATGCACAGGTTCTTGAGGATCTTGAGTTTATTCTTCATGAACAACCAAATCATCTTGAGTAAGAGGTTCATCAACAATGCCTTGTGGAGGTTCCGAACTTACTTTATCAAAAGTAACTATTTGAATTGGTTCTGAAATTGTTACCGATTCTTCCTCCAAGATGAAGTTCCTGATTTTATTCTTCCCCCCAAACTCAATATCCTCAAAGAACGTAGCAGTTCCCGTCTAAAAAATTGTCTTTAATGTGGGATCATAAAATTTATATCCCCTGAATCTTTCAGCATAACCAATAAAATAACTACTTACTGTTCAAGAGTCTAATTTCTTTTCGTTTGGCTTATAAGGCCTTGCCTCAGCTGGACATCCCCACACATGGAAATGCTTCAGACTAGGCTGTTGCCCAGTCCAAAGCTCATAAGATGTTTTGGTAGCTGCTTTAGTTGGTACTCTGTTTAGAATATAAGCTGTCACATTTAGTGTCTCTCCCCAAAGTGATTCCAGTAAGGTGGAATGACAAATCATACTCTCTACCATATCTTTAAGAGTGTAACACAAGCTCAAACGTCACGATTTGATTGTGACCTGAGCACTTGTGCCATAATGCACCTGAATGAGTATTTTCAATTTTACGTTTAGTACCACGTGATTCTGTATTAAGGGTTTCATTATAGGTGACCACAATATCAAGTAAATACTGATTATCATAAATCAAAAGTGAACCAGTTCCAACAATATCTGAATTAAAAGACAAACTGAACTTATTGTTTCCAAATGAACACAAATAACATAATTTGTCCAAATAAGAAACTGAAACCAAATTCCGTCTAAATGACGGTACAACAAAAGTGTCTTTCAAATCCAAATAAAAAACCAGTACTCAATAACAAATTAAAATGTCCTATAGCTTCCACTTCTACCGATTTACCATCTCCAACATAAATCCA